GTGCTAAGCTGCGCTCTAACAACGTCCTTTCTGTTGTAACGGGTCCGATTCAAGGCATTCAACAGTTACCCTAAAGAATCCCCAATGAGCGACATGTATAGTTGATAGTCTTTGTTCATCAGATCCATTGAGTCCACTCATATCTATAACTGGAATCGAACCATCAATCGCCATCAATGGGCTTTCACCTTCTGGAATTGGCAAAACAAACTCCAAAGGCACCATTTTCCATGTCCTTCGAATTGTCAACTAAGTACTCAACATCTTTTTTGTAATCAATTTCACTAGTAATATTATTAGTCAAATTGTTTGTGGAGATTGAGGGAGAAGGAGATGAAGTAATTAGAGCCATTACTTGGCTGTTGGATGAGATGGGGCTTTATTTTTTGTGTTTTTGATCAAGTTTTTCTTTGCCACGCATTGTTGGTCTTTAGAACAATAGGCCTTGTGGCATTGTACATGCATATTAAGCCAAAATCTTGGAACCTAGCTAACAGAAGTGATGCTCTGAATTTTTTTTATCAAGTAAGTAATTATTTAAATCAATTTATCAAAATAATATATTTCTTAAATTTTTTACAGAACTAGTATAAATGTATTTTGAGTAGCGTTTTAGGCTAAATATTTTATTAAAAAAACATTGACGCTAACGGCGTTAAATAAGGAAACGTTATTGGTGGTAACGTTTTAAGCATCAAAACATTACTGTCTAATACGTTTTATAATTTGTTACTCGAAAGCACGTCTTGTAGCTAAAACATTAAGTTTCTTTAAAATTTAGGCATAGTCTTTAGTTTACTTTTTACATTTCTTGTTAATGTATCAGTTACTTTTTAACTGTTCAAAAGTTTTAGTTGTGTTAGTATTCTTTCAATTAGTCGTTGTAAGGTAACTTCAATTCAAGATAGCAACAATATTGCACGACATATATTTTTTCCATTCTTGTCCCTTTTGAATAAGCTATGTTTGTGGGCATTACCATGTTCTATTGATTTTTTCTTGTGAAAATCAAGTGAACAAAAAAGGATAAAACAAATGAATAAGAATGATGATTTTTCTTTTAATTTTTCGTTTAGTATTCGATAAATTATAGTGATAGATTTATCACCTCAAATTAATACCCTAGCGAGAGAAATTACTCTCGAGTTAGAAAACAAACATTATACATATCGAGAATACTAAGAATAAAGAGAACCAATATACAAATGAATATTTTTAATGACAAAGCCTTTGCCAATAAGGCAATAAACATTATATCTTTTAGCAAAAAGTATAGGAATTCAAATGTATGTACAAAATCAAAGTCAATAAACTCCACTTTATAAAGTATTTCACATATGCTAAGAAGCACCCTGTGCTTGTTCATACGCTAGGCATGGAGCCTGGTCCTGGTACAAAATTATAAGATCTTCAGGACATAATGTCACAGCTCTTGACTTGGAGTTCATGACTTCACTTCCTGCTGATGAAAAAATAGTTCTTGTTTGCAATAGCATTGGTGGACTCTCCATTTCTAAATCCATGGAAACCTTCCCTGGAAAGATTGCTGTTGCTGTATTTCTTAGTGGTCCAAATATCAGTGCATCTTCATTTCATGTCCGAGTTCGTCATTGTCTTACCTGCTTTCCTGCAGCCTACTTAAGCCCGGAGGAGAATGCTTGTTGTCAGCTTCTATTCTCTATTCCTATCCGAGTCAATCTTTCAGAGAAAACCTACCCTTCCACGGTACCCACCTTCAAACAAACTTATACTAATGAAAATGAAATAAATATGTCAATCTTGATCTCGCCTAACTCAGTGTACTCTTGAGCCTTTTACATTCTGGCAGTTCATGGATAGTATAAACATTAGGCTCGTCTACACTGAGGTACCATCAATTTTCCATATTCTCAACTCTAATATGTTATGTTTGTTTTGAAATTTTACATATTTGAAACTAAATTTACATATATATACTTCATTATAGAATAATACCTGAGAATCCTCCAACTACTGTCATCCTAGGTCCCAAATTCTTGGAAACTAATGCTTGCCATCTGAGCTCAACTGAGGTAAGCAAATCATAATAGTACTATTACTGAAAATAATAACCAATTTGGAACTGATTTAAATTGGGGTTTTCCCTAGGATTTTGTGCTGGCCAATACATATTTATACAGTGCAGAGATAGTATTCAATCAAAATATATGGATTAGTTAAGCGAGTGTTCATTGTTGCTGCTGAAAATGTATCTCTGAAGAAGGAATTTTTTGCAAATAATGATTGAAAAGAATCCACCAGATGAAATGGAAGTGATCTAGGGGTCTGACCACACGACCATGATGTCTAAGCCCCAACAGCTTTATACTACTCTTCTTAGCATTGTCAACAAGTACATCTCAGACCTTTCGATTTGATATTTCAATCATTTTCTTTCGATTGTAATTTCAGCGTTTGGAATTAGCATAAAAAAATTAAACAACCTTTATTTCCTGAAATTACTTGATTTTTTAGTTCAATTTGATTCATCAATGGGAAGAGGATACATAAGTTAATACTGATAACTTAAACTTCTAGATGAAATAATCACAAAGTTTAACTACTATGCACATTAACAAACAGTGCTAATATTTTTACCGACATTATCTCTCTGCAAGGATTGACATATCCTCAAAATTAATTGTTGTTCAGAATCTCATCCAAGGTAACCTTCCCTCTCTTAGTAGTGCTTTGTTGGGCTCTAACATAGTCCTTGTAAACAATGGGTCGATACTTGCTTTCACTCTTCTCTTTGATAAGTGGGCTTGCAGGCTGAACTATTGTGTTCATTTTTGGGCCATGACCCACTGCTATAGAGATCCGAGCCGCCTCCGCATTGACTACAACTCGATGCTCTGCGCTCTTGTACTTGCCATTACTCAATATCTGGAGAATATAATTCACTCAGTTTGTCTAATTTTGACTTAGCTCATCTTAATTGGTTCAAGCTAAGTAACCTAAAAAATGACTTTTGGAGGTGAGTGAACTTGAACTTGAACTTTTGACCCTACTTGCCCTATGCTCAATGAGACAAGCGGGGTCAAGAGCTCAAGTTTATTCATCGATCGGGTGTATTTTTAAACCGTCTTAGCTAATATATAATCCTTTAATATCAAAGTATATTATAAGTTAAAGTGAAAGGAAAAATAATGATGTGAGACAAACCTCCAAAAAATCTCCTAGATTGACAACAAAAGTGCCAGGGACATGGTGGACAGAGTACCATGTTTGATTGTGTTTAATTTGCAAGCCTGGAATGCCACTGTCCATTAAAATAGTGAGAGCACCCATATCTGAATGGGGAGCAAGTCCCAATGTCTTGTTTGGCTCAGGACATGTTGGATAATAATTTGCAACCATCATTTGAGTCCCTTCATCTCCAAGTGATTTCTCTATGTAATCTGGATCAAGCCCTAATCCTTGTGATATTGCACCAAATATTTTCATCGCAAGTTGCCAAACTTCCTTTAAGTACTCCTTTGTAACGTGCCTATACAAAATGATTGCAATATCAATTATATAAATGTATCTGATCATATCATCAAATAACTTACTTGTATGTGGGAGGATTATCTGGCCAAAAGTGATAGCTTTGTGGAACTAGACCACCATAGTGCCTGAAAAAGTCCCTCCAATGAAGGGCATACTTTCCGGTAGCGTTGAAGCTTGTTCCATATATGACTGAATCCATCACATTTTCTGAACAATATCTCATTTTGTCTTCTAATGGGAGATTGAAAAACTCTTGTATCACTTTTAGCATTTCATCCATGATAGAGCTCTTTATACCATGATTAGTCACCTGTAGAATATTTTAATGTGCATATGCTAGTGTATTATTATTTTTATAAAAGAGAAAGAGTAGAGTTGGGAAATTAATTACGTACCCTAAAGAATCCCCATTCAGCACAAGCAGAAGAAATGGCATGTATAGTTGATAGTCTTTGTTCATCAGGTCCATAGAGTCCACTCAAATCTATAACTGGAATTGAACCATCAATCGCCATCGATGGCTTTTCACCTTCTGGAATTGGCAAAACAAGCTGGGAAGGCACCATTTTCATCTTCTTAGAATTGTCAACTAAGTACTTTGCACCTTTTTTGTAATCAATTTCCATAGTAGGAAAAGGAGAAGAAGTAACTATTAGAGCCATTAACTTGGTTGTTGGATGAGATGGGGCTTTATTGATCAAGTTTTTCGGAAGAAACGATGCTCTTTCACTACTTTCTCTTTGCCAAGCGTTACGTTGTTGGTCTTTGGAGCAATAGGCCTAGTGGCATTGTACATGCACATTAAGCCAAAAATGTTTGGAACCTAGCTAACAGAAAAAGATGCTCTTTGAACGGGGTTTGACTCAATTTTTTGAAGTCATTTAAAAATGAGAATTTTTAGCCCAGCCTCATTTAGTCTGTTCGCCTAGTAGGCCCGATTGGCAAGCCTCAAAGGTCATTCCGCGGGCTGTGTATTTTAAAAGTACTTATTATATATATTTTTTAAAGGAAAAATAACTTAAATACACAACTATAAGTTTAGTATTCTCTAATTTTCCCTTCTTTTTTTAAATATTACATAATTCTCTTTTTTTTTAAATTTTAGTAGAAGATTAGAGATACATAGCCTTCTCTCTCCTATAACACACACTTCCCCAATATCATGCCTATTTTTTCTCCACTAAAACACTCAATCTTCTGAATCACTTTTTGAATTTTCAATTATTAATTTTAATTAAAAACGTTTCACAACATTTAATATGAAATTTTGAATTTCAAAATTCAAAAAGTTTGAAATTTCGACCATTGTTCTCTGGTTCTTCTTCTTCTTACTCCATCATCCGTCTATAGTTCTTCTTCTTCTTCTTAATCCATCATCTGTTCTTATTTTCTTCTTTTTTTTCTTCTTGTTCATTGTTATATCACATCAGCCGTCTCTAAGTCTTCTTTTTCTTCTTACTCCATCATCCGTTCTTCTTTTCATTTTTTTTGTTTTTGTTCATTGTTTTATTACATCATATTAATGGATCATTTTACTAATAGAAGGATTTATGATTCGGACGATGAAAATTGGAAACAAAATAGAAAAAAGTCTTTGCATGATCCTATGAATGTTCGGAAGGATTCAAACAAAGATTTTGGCGAATAATCTAAATTAAAGGTTGACAAAATACACCAAAAAAAGGAGAAAAGAAGCAGCAACCATTGTTGTTGAAATTAGTAAAAATTTTAGTAAAGGAATTCCATATGTATCATGAATTTTTGAAAATTGTTATCATGTATCACACAATAAGTTTAATACATAAGTACTCAATGTGTTATAGTGTGTTAGTTGATGCATTGGTTCATGAATTAGATGTGTATCATATGATTTCCTATGTATCAAGAGTTTTTGAAAATTGTTATCATGTATCAGTCAATAAGTTTAATAATTGCGCCATCAAGTGTGTTTGTTGATACATATCGACTCAGTGTGTTATAGTGTCGATGCATTGATACATGGATTTGATGCGTATCATATGATTTTCTATGTATCACGAGTTTTTGAAAATTGTTATCATGTATCAGTCAATAAGTTTAATAACTGGATGTTCATAAAAATGTCTTCAAACTAGATGATATAATCTTGATTTTTCAAAATTTGAAATTGTTATTTAATTACGTGCTGAATTAATGCTTATTAATGAATTGTTACCGTAATTTAAGATAATTTAGATAACAAATTTAAATGTTCCGTTTTTTTCCCCTTTTAGTCTTAACAGTTTTAAGTTACTGTGTATCATTTACCATGTATCACAACATACTAATGTATCACGCCACAACAATTTTAAGGGATTATTAGTAAATACTAAATTTATTGGGACAGAATGTAATTATTGTATTACACTATGGGATTCCTTAAATTTATACTTTTTTAAACCCATTTAAAAACGAGACTTTTTAGCTCAACCTCATTTAGTCTGTTGGCCTCGTATGCCCAATTCGCAAGCCTCAAAGGTCATCCCACAGGCTGTGTATTTTAAAAATACTTATTATATATATTTTTTAAATAGTGTTTTACTTGTTTAGGTTCTGTAAATATATATTTTTAAAATATCAATATAAAATAATACTATATTTTCTACATATCTTTTATTTGTTAGGATCACTAGTCCACTAAATCCTTTTTATGGGAAAATTAGGAAAGTGGTCAACAATTATAACATAATTATTTAAACATCTATAATTTAGAAATATTAATAAAATTGTCAAAATGTGAATATTTTACAAAATTTATTATGTATTCTAATTTAGTTCCTATTTTACCTCACCTTAATTAAAGTTTTCCAACTCATTTTCACACATGTGTTGTTTTTTTTTAAAAAAAAAAAGTATTTCTCTCTCACTAATTTTCCTCTTCCAATTATTTTTCACCTTTCAACTCCCACTTCTGTCTTCGTTTCTTTCCGGATTTTGTTTTCTTCATAAATTGAAAAAATATATATCTTTAGAGATATTCACAAAAATTCACTAGATTAAGGTATGCATTTTTATCCAATTTTTAGGTTTGTTTATTGTGGGAATGTATGCACCCACCAATCAGTCAAGGACCAGGTTCCTTGACTCAGCAAGAATAGTATATGTATATTGATTAGATAATTGTATATTATACATATGCAATATAATTTATGTATGACAAGTGAGATTGGGAAAGGGAAACGAGATTGACTTAGACTAAACAACAACAATGTTGCCCACTAAACCACCACCCTCTGGACGATTTAGATTTTGACTAAGCAACAACAATGTTGCCCACTAAATCACCAAACTCTAGATGACTTAGACTTCTAGAAACCGAAACAAGATCTGAATCCTTTATAGATTAGGATCAGATTTACAACGTAAGCACATAGACACAAAGTTGTAAATACAACAAGACTCTTTAACACTCCATCTGGTCCTTTGTTGATATGAGCAGCGTTCTTCTTTGAAGATGACCTTCACTTTTCAAGCTTATGAATTTTCACAGAAAAAATCCAAGTATAATTTGCAAAATCTTGAATTTGTGTTTGTTGAAAAGAGATAATATAAATCACCACAAATTCGTTGAGATCATCTCATTGGCTGAAAGCCTGCTGTTGGAGAATTTGTGCACCTACCACATCAGAGGTGACAACTTTTTTGACAACTATCTTGTCACCTTTTCGAGTCTAGCAGGGACCAGGTCCCTTGCAAACTTCTTTGTGAGTTCTTGAAAAGTTTTGTTGGCTGACTTCCTTCTTTGGATAAATGAATTTAATTGTTGTTTGTCATGTTGACTAAGTCAACCATAAAGAGTTATTGACCGTAACAAACAAATGTGTCCATTCTAATTGGTGTGGTATGCTGAAGCCTCACCAACCTCTGACACGACAATTTTACAGTTGTACCCCATTATGCACTTGATGGAGCGAACTCTGCATGGGACTAGGTTCCTGCGTTTGTGAGATATTGAAATATACAATCCCATTCACTCTTAATATTGGTGTAGGACACTGCCTTTTTCACCTACCACCTGCCATGACAGCTTTACAGTTGTACCCTATTTGTATCTGGACGAGAGCACTCTGTTAGGGATCAGGTCTCCGCATTTGTGAGGATCATCAAAACACCTAGAATATAACATATAATCATTTTTTTATTTGTTTAAATCGTTCAGAATTTTTGTTTAACCAATTTCTTTTAATGTTTGAAAACCGTAAAATCACTCTCTAGTGGTCGAATCTAAGAGGATTACAAGAGGTATCCAACTAAATCAATAATTATTCAACGATATAAAATAGTAGGCGTGTTGAAATTGAATAGTATTCACAATTCATTAAGTATGCGTATTGATATAAAATAGTATTGTCACTGTCTATGGACATTGTGGATTTGTTAGTATAGATATTATATTCCTTAATTTTATTTTTAATTTTCTTATTGTATTTGTGGACATTCTCTTAGTCTTGATGATATACTCACATACTTGTACTCATCATGTCTGCATCCTTTTGCATTTCTCTTTATTATCTTGTTTATGAAAATTATTATCATGTAATGATTTTTTGCTCGGATGATTTTTATGAATGCTGCACTTGACTATTATGTATTTTTTTGTAAATATTCATTGAAATATGTGCAATTTGTGAATGAATTTATATATGTATTGGTGTCATGTTCATCAAAAATCAACGTTCATATCCTTTCTGTAAGGAAAATGTTGTCTGTTTTTTAGTCGAAGGGTCAAACCGTCCAGACCTGTGGCCTGCTGGGGGCTGAGTTGGGTTGTTATTTAATAGAACCTTTAATTAAAAATGTCAGTCCATCTCAATCCATTTAACTTTCTAACCCGTTAGGATTGGATCAACCCATTTTGACAGCTATGTCCACAAGTAGGTAAGTGGGGTCTACCTAGAAATTTTGAAAAGATATCACAACATAAGAAAATCAAAGCCAAGAACAATAAATACGTCTCAAATCAACAAATGCATGGCATGTCAAGTGTATCAATGTATGAATATATAACAAATTACATCATTTTAATGTTAACACCTGATGATACAGATAAAAATTTGTAGAAGATCAACGTAGTCACGGGGTCCATTGATAAGACCTTGTTAGGATAATATATATATATATATACACACTCTATGGTTTACTTATCCTTGGAATTTCTGTCCTCTTTCCAATTTTTATTTTCGTCATCTGATTTCCCACTACATCATCTTCCTTTGGTTATTCAAAGTGATACAAATTAAAGCATCTTCTACTATACTAGTACAATTATTAGTAATATAACTTTTGTCCATCAAATTACCTTTACATATATGAAAAGAAATTAGGAATAATTGGTACATCCCACAACACCACATTATATCTACGTATCTAAGTTTTTATGTTTTCAATCACAGAATTTACCTAAGTGTTTAAAAACTTAGTATACAACAGTATACACTCGATATATAGCATTATACACAACGGCTTTACACTACTCTTCTTAACATTGCCAACAAGTATGTATACCTGAGACCTCTCAATTTGATATTTCAATCATTTTGTTTACATTGTAATTTAGCTTTTGGAATTAGTATTAATAAACAACCTCTATTTCCTGAAATTACTGAAATTTTTTAGTTCAATTTGATTTAATCTCATCAATGGGAAGACGATACAGATGTTAATATTGATAACTTTAACTGTTAGATGAGATAATCACAAAATTAAGCACTGCTTACACAAGACGATAGTAGCATTTAGTGGAATGCATGTGGTAGGATGTACTTTGGCAAACCAAGAAGCTAGGGAACAAGTCTAGCCTTCTCAATCACTATAACAAAAACAACGTTTAGCGACAATAAGTATACACATTAACAAAAACTGCTAAAAAGTTTTACATGTTGTTCATTATCTCATGCAAGGCACTCTTCCCTCTTTTAATAGTGCTTTGTTGGCCTCTAATATAGTCTTTGTAAACAATGGGCCGATACTTGCTTTTACTCTTTTCTTTGATAAGTGGGCTTGCAGGCTGAACTATCGCATTCATTTCTGGGCCGTGACCCACTGCTATAGAGATCCGAGCCGCCTCCGCATTGACTACTGCTCGATGCTCTACGCTCTTGTATTTCCCATTGCTCAATACCTGAGAAGATAATTCAGTCAATTTGTCTAAATTTGATATATAAGTGGGCTTGCAGGCTGATTTACACAAATTATATGAACCATAGAATTTTTTTAAAAAAAAGTCTCTTTTTAATTAAATAAATTATAAGAAGAGTAAAGAAATTGGAACTTATAAGTAGAAGTGGCAAGGTTGAGTTATAATAACCCATTTAGCCATTTTGACTCATCTCATCTCATTCCAAGTATCCTACAAAATGATTTTGAAGGCAAGTGGTCTTGAACATTTGATCCTACTTGTTGCCTATGCTAAATCAGACAAGCGGGGTCAAAAGCTCAAAATCATTTATTTCTAAGTTCATTGGATGTAATTTCGCGTATTTTAATTAAATCGTTCTAGACAATCATTTTATCTCACTATCAAAGTATATAAGTTAAATTGGCGAAAGCAAAAATAATGACACTAACCTCCAAATAATCCCCTAGATTGACAATAAAAGTGCCAGGTATACTAGGGACAGAATACCATATATGATTGTGTTTAATTTGCAAGCCATGAATGCCATTGTCCATCAAAATAGTGAGACCACCATGATCTGAATGTGGAGCTAGTCCCAATGTCTTATTTGGCTCAGGACATGCTGGATAATAATTTGCAGCTATTATTTGAGTCCCTTCATCTCCAAGTGAACTCTCTATGTAATTTGGATCAAGCCCTAATCCCTCTGATATTGCACCAAATATTTTTGTAGCAAATTGCCAAACTTCCTTTAAGTACTCCTTTGCAATGTGCCTTCACACATGCATATATACATGTACAAAATTGATTGTAAGAATTCACTTATTCCAAAAATTAAAAATACTTGACTTGAATGATCTTGTATTAAAAGCTAAATTGGCCAAAGATAGTAATTTCAAGTACTATTGCATGCATGTAATGTAGGCTTAGCCGTTTTAAAATCATAGGAAAATATTAAGCATGATGTGATATATAATTACTTACTTGTAGGTAGGAGGATTATCTGTCCAAAGGTGATAGCTTTGTGGAACTAGACCACCATAGTGCCTCAAAAAGTCCCTCCAATGGAGGTTATGTTTTCTGGTTGTGTTCAAGCTTGTACCATATCTTACTGGATCCATCACATTTTCTGAATAATATCTCATTTTCTCTTCTAATGGAAGATTGAAAAATTCTTCTATCACTTTAAGCATTTCATCCATGATAGAGCTCTTTATTCCATGATTAGTCACCTGTAAAATTTGCAACTAAATATTTATGTTTTAAAAAGATTTGATTAAATAATTTTAATCATAAATAAATATGTAAACATTTTGCCCTATATATTATTCCATATACATGCTTGGACAAAGGATTCATTTATTCTATGTTATATTGTCCACGCTTAAGACGTAGAAAATACATGGATGTTTATTCTCCCATATTGGTAGTGGGGATGTTTGTTTCGTCTCTTGCACTATCCTCCACTCAATATTAATCCACAGGTACATTAAGCTTAAAATTGAAAATATAATGCAAGAAAGAGTTGGGAAAATTAAAGTTACCCTAAAGAATCCCCAATGGGCACAAGCAGAACTAATGGCATGTATAGTTGATAGTCTTTGTTCATCAGGTCCATTGAGTCCACTCATATCTATAATTGGAATTGAACCATCAATCGCCATCGATGGCCTTTCACCTTCTGAAATTGGCAAAACAAACTCCAAAGGCACCATTTTCATGTTCTTTGAATTGTCAACTAGGTACTTTACACCTTTTTTGTAATCAATTTGAGTAGTAATAGTATTAGTTGAAATGCTAGTGGAGATTGAGGAAGAAGGAGAAGAAGTAATTAGAGCCATTAACTCGGCTGTTGTATGAGATGTGGCTTTATTTTTTGTGTTTTTGATCAAGTTTTTCTTTGCCACGCGTTGTTGATCTTTAAAGCAATAGGCCTAGTGGCATTGTACATGCAGATTAAGCCAAAATTTTGGAACCTAGCTAACGCAAGTCACGATGCTCTTTCACTAGTTTTTCTTTTTTTCGCGGAGTATCTATATTGAAATTCAATTATTCTGAATTCGTATCGTGTAGAATTCAATTCGGAGGGAAGTTATCACTATCAAAAATATTTTCATACTCAAAGTTCGAACTTGAAAATTTAAACTTAGACAAAAACAATTTCATCCACAATTAGGTGAATGGGTTAATTCTCCCTAGAAATTTCGAAAAGATATTACAACATAAGAAAATCAAAGCCAAGAACAATAAATACGTCTCAAATCAACAAATGCATCAGTGTATGAATATAACAAATTACATTATTTTGATATAAACACTTGATGCAGATAAAAATTTATGGAAGATTAACGTAGTCACAGGATCCATTGATAAGCCCTTGTTAGGATGATATATATACTCTATGGTTTACTTGTACACATTATTATTATTAATATAACTTTTGTCCATCAGATTACCTTAGATATATGAAAAGAAAATAGGAATAATTGGTACAACCCACAACACTATGTTAGATCTACATATCTAAGTTTTTATGTTTTCAATCGCATAATTCACTATTTTCTTACCTAAGCGTTTAAAAACATAGTATACAATATTATACACTCGATGTATAGCATTATATAAAACTCTGATTTTATTCTTGGATCCATTCAAAACACCTAAGTTTCACATTCAGGCTCCTCGATGTATATTACAATATTATACAATTTATTTTACAATATTTTACACTAGTATACAAATCTTTTGCAGCATTATTCACTCGAAATGTAGCTTATTTGTTAAAATGTGGTTTTTAAACTTTGAAGAACAATAGCTGATTATGAAGATTTTGCTTCTTGTTCGCGTTATCATCCTTAAATTGATGGGTTAACCATGCTTTTTAGCTTCAAACAAATTTTGTTCAATGAATTCAAGCTCCTCAGACCGAAGAGTCGCAGATTACATTTATATTTTTTTTTCAGATTTGTTCTTCAACTGAAATCACAGAGAAACACATATGAAAAATTTCTGATCAAAGGCATGACCAGATTTCTTTTTTGAATGAATAGGAAATATCACTTTGATGTATACGTTTATGATTGTATAAACCACTAAAATAAATATATATAGTAGCAATGCATATATGGTGTAAATTACATAAATACCATAACTTTTGTATGAAATTACAGTCCATCCCTAATAAGTTTCTAATTACACTAATCCCTTAAAAATTAAAAAGATTGGATACAATAATTGAAGCTTGATACATGAATATCGCTACAACAAAAATGATCATTAGAGGCATTTAATTCTTAATTGTCGCTAAATATGTATTTTTAGCGGCAATTGCCACTCTTTGTAAATGTCTCTAAAGTCTTTAGCGATATTGGTTCTAATGACACTTAACTAATGTCGGTAAAGACTTTAGCACTCTTTATTAGTGTCAATATTTAATGCCACCAAATGTCGTTTTTGTTGTAGAGTATGTAGCTCGCATACAGTAAAATATTGTCTCGCGTACATTAAAAATTAGTTTAGATACATTAAAAACTAGTTCAAATACATAACATGTAGCTCAGATAAATTAAAGAAATAAGGAATTTTGGAGATTTCAAAAAGTAATAGGGAATAATGGAAATAAGTGAAACAAAAGGTGTGTATTTCTGTAATTTCCCTATATATGCTAATAAATGTGTATAAACACAGTAACTTTACTTTTTTTGTATACACATCGGAGTCACTCTTGTCACATTATGTGTATTAATAAATGAGGAAATTTTGCAAATAGCTATTAAAATAAATTTATTTTATGCTCCATAGCTTTAATTACTAATATGATTCGTAGCTACATGTTAGAGAAAGGAGAGAGGTGAATTGTATACGTTTTCAGATAATTGTATATTTGTAACTGGTATACATATGAATTTTTATATCTAGCAAGTGAGATTAAGAGAGGGAGGAGAGAGACAAACAAGATTGAGAGAGGGGTGCAAGAGAGGGCAGAGAATGAAGAAAGTTGAATTGTCTATGTATATTTTTCGAATTGCATATGTATATATGTCAGGTAATTGTATATATGTAACTCGTATACATATGTATTTGAATATCTGGCAAGGGAGATATGGAGAGGGAGGAGGAGGCAAGAGATAGAGGGCATAGAGGCTAATTTTATTTGTATATTTTATTTTTTTGGGTTGCCCACCCGGTGTTCGGAGCCGCATTAAATCCCAGACTGCATCTGGAAAGCCCATTGGGGGTGGCACTGACAACAGGATTTTCTCAATATCTTGGGCTCGAACTCCAAATTTTTGGTTAAGGGTGGAGCAGTCCACCATTGCACCATAATTCATATTGGTGTATTTATCATATAACTGTATATGTATATGTATAATTTATATTGGGAAACTTACATAAATATATTATATGAAGGAAATATTTACCATTTATAGCAATAACATTTCTTTCACTTGATCATCTTGTGAGTTTTCACTAACAATTTTAAGGAGAATCATCATGACTATAATTAAAAAACTACGGATGTCAAGATGGGAGATCTTAACAAGCCATTTCGGTTCAATGATAACCATTTTAAGAGATGGAAGGGTAAAGTATTTTTCTACTTAAGTCTCCTCAATATTTCTTATGTTTTAACTAAGAAGAATCCTTATAAAGAAGACATCACTTCTATGAATGATGATGAAACTATTTCTCTTCGAGAGAAAGTGCAAAAATACGATGGTGATTCCTATAAGTGTCGATATTATCTTTTTAATTGTCTATCTGACAATTTTTATGATTATTATAATAGAACTTATGCTAGTGCAAAGAAAATTTGGAAAGTATTGCAGAGTAAGTATGATACCGAAGAGGCTGGAGCGAAAAAATATGCAGCTAGTAGATTTTTTTTCGTTTCCAAATATTGGACAACAAATCAGTGGTGAATCAAGCTCAAGACTTTATAATGATTGTTGGAAAGCTTAGTCAGATAAAGTAAAAATTAGATAACCTTATTGTTTGTGGCATAGTGGATAAACTTCCACCGTCTTGAAAGAAATTTCAAAAAAACTATGTCCCACAAACAAAAGGAAACCTTGATGGTGAAAATCTGCATGGAAGAAGAAGCAAGGGGCCAAGATGCACTTTTACAAACAGAAGAGAACAACATCACAACGAAGGTAAATTTAATTACTTCGAATAGTGCTACTCTTGAAACTCACAAAAATACTTTTTTGAAGCCAAAAAAGAAAAAAAATTCAAGAAAAAGAATAGTAGACCTCCCAAGAAAATAATGGTGAAAATAACCAAGCACAAAAAATCACCAAGTTCAAGAAAAAGGACCATGCTTTGTTTGTGGCAAGAGTGGGCATATTGCTCGATTTTGCAAATTCTGAAAACGTGATCCTAACCCTCAAACAAACGTTATCGAAGAACCTTTTGTGGTGGTGATTACCGACATAAACATGGTTGAGAATGTTGATAGATGGTGGACTGATTCTAGTGCAAACCGTCATGTCTGTTATGACAAGGACTGATTTAAAAAATATACTCATTTTGAAAAGCCCAAAACCATCATGTTTGGTGATGCTCATACTACTCAAGTGCTTGGAAAGGGAGATGTCGAATTGTGTTTTAAGGGTATTAACTTTAAAAGATGTACTTTATACTCCTACAAGAAAAAATTGATATCTAGTTTTCTGCTTAATAAAGCAGGCTTTAAACTAATTATTGAATCTAATCAAATATATAATAGTGAAGAAGGGTATTTTTGTAGGGAATGGGTATGCATGTGATGGAATGTTTAAGTTGAATGTTAAGATGAATAAAATTTTTACTTATGTTTATATGTTTTCTTCTACGAATTTTCAGCATGCTTGTTCGTGTCATATTAATGATCATTATGCTGAAATCATAAGTAGCTTAGGATTAATTGCAATGATTAAAAAGAATTTTTAAAAGTATGAGGCTTATAGTAAAGCTAAAATCACTAAAAGACCTCATTTTCAAATTGAAAGAAAAAAATGATTTGTTAGAATTAGTTCATACTGATATTTGTGAACTTGATGCAATTCTAACTCGTGGAGGTAATAGATATTTTATCACTTTCATTGATGATTTTTCTAAGTTGACATATGTTTACTTAATGAAAATTAAAAGTGATGCTTTTGAAAATTTCAAAGCTTATCTCCGTGAAGTTGAAAATCGGTTTGGAAGAAAAGTAAAAAGAATTAGAAGTGAAAGAGGCCGTGAATATGAATCAAATGAGTTTAATTTTTTTGTTAGATCATCGGGAATAATTCATGAAACTACTCTTCCTTACTCTCCTTCGTCTAATGGAGTAGCGGAAAGGAAAAAATAAAACTTTTGTTGAATTGACTAATGTCATGCTTATTGAGTTACATGCACCTTTAAGTTTTTGGGGTGAACCTATTTTAACTGTTTGTTATGTGTTGAATCGTGTGCCTCATAAAAAGTCTAAATTGACACCTTTTGAATTATAGAAAGGTTACAAGTCAAGTTTGGGATATCTAGCCTTTGTGAGGCTAATGGATCCCAAGATTACAAAGTTGGATAAGAAAGCTACTACTTGTGCTTATCTTGGTTATTCTTCAAATAATACAGCTTATAGATTTTTTTAATCTTGAAGATAATATTGTAATAGAATTCGGTGAAATTATTTTTCATGAAAATAAATTTTCATTTGATTCTAAAAATAGTGGGGTTCAAAGGATTGAACAAAATATTTTGTCACTACCTAGTTCTTCTACTTCTACTTTGAGAAATAAAGAAGTTGATGATTTTGAGATAAAAAAAATAAAAGAGCTAGAGTATAAAAAGATTTTGATCGTGATTTTTATGTGTTTAATGTTGGAGAGGACCCTCTCACTTTAAAAGAAGCATTATCTTCACATGATTCTATTTTTTGGAAAGAGGCTTTAAATGATGAAATAGAATAACTAATTTCTAATAAAACTTGGAAACTGGTTGATTTATCACCGGATTGTAAACTATTGGTTGCAAATGGGTCTGAAGAAAAAAGTTGAAACCGGATAGATCTATTGATAAATACAAGGTTAGTTGCAAAAAGTTTTAAACAACTAGAAGGCCTAGAAATTTTTGACATTTTTTCTCCGGTAACAAGAATTACATCCATAAGACTTTTAATTGCTATGGCTGCAATTTTTTATTAACAAACCAAGAAACCAAAGTATGTAAACTCACTAAATCCTATATGGCTTGAAACAGGCACCAAAAAAATAGTATGAAAAATTTGTTTCCTGCATAATTGAAAATGATTTTAAAACAAATGACTGTGATAAGTGCATATATCACAAGTCTTGGAATAATTCACATGTGATTATTTGTTTATATGTTGATGATTTATTGATCTTTGGCTCTAATATAATGTCATTGATGAAGCTAAAAATGTTCTTAGAAGCCATTTTGATATGAAAGATCTTGGTGAGGCAAATTTTATTTTTGAAATAAAAATAGCAAGAACATGTGATGGAATTTTCCCTGACCAGTCATATTATGTTGAGAAAATTTTAAAAAAATATAACTTTCATGATTGTAAGCATGTTGCTACTCCTTTTGATTCAAGTGTTCACTTATTTCCTGTTAATAGTGAAAATGATGTAATAAATCAAAAGGAATATGCTAGTATAATCGGAAGTTTGAGATATGTGACTGATTGCACTAGGCCTGATATTGCATATGCAGTAGGAGTACTTGGTAGGTTTACAAGCAAGCAAAGTAATGAACATTGGCATGTTGTAACAAGAGTTATGAGATATTTAATTGGAACAAGAAAATTGTGATTTGTTCTGTAAAAAATATCATGATGTAATTGAAAGGTTTTGTGATGTAGATTGGAACACTTTATTAGGTGAATCATGTTCTATCACCGGTTATATCTTTACTTTAGGTGGTGATGGTGTTTGTTGGAAATTAAAAAAGCAAACTATAATTGTTAACTCTACCATGGAGACTGAACTAATTGTTTTAGCTTCATCTAGTGAGAAAGCGAATTGATTAAGAGATTTATTATTTCAAATACCTTATTTTGAAAAATCATTTCCTCCTATTTTAATTCATTATGATAGCACCACTACTATTGGTAGAGTTCAAAATCGTTATTAAAATGGTAAATCCAAACCTATAAGGAGGAAACAAAGTAATGTAAGATCATATTTGACAAGTGGTACCATTAATATTAATTATGTCAAATCTTGTGATAATCTTGCAGATCCTCTTACTAAAGTCTTACCAAGAGAAAAGGTTTGGAGCACATCGAAAGGAATGGGATTAAAGCCTATAAATCCTTAAGTCATATATGAGGAAATCCAACCTGAAGACTCGAGATCCTATAACCAAGTTCAAAGGAAAAAATCAATCATATGATGACTTGTTGTGAAAAAATGCACTATTTTCTTATTCCCTCCCTATGATGTGAGTGCATTATTTCCTGTAGTTTGTGAATGTTGAGTTGATAAAACTCTTAATGAATATATGTAGCCCGCATGGGTGGAGTGTTAAGCTTACAGGAGCATTCTCGACAGAGTTTACCTATGTGATGTGTGGAAGTAGGTCACTTCGTATGAGAATTTGGCTAATTCTCAAAAGCACTCATGAAACCGGAATAACATATGACCATAACGTGTTGGCTTTAAAGCTCATGTCAACACCTTAATTATTATGTGTGAGCAGTGATATTTTATTTCCCTTAAGCAGTCATAGTTCAAGTCTGAGATCACTACGACTCGGGAGTAAAAATTATTGTTTCACTAAGTGGAGGTTCAATGCAGAGCACACCTTCATTATGCATAGTAGTCTTCCTTTAGCTGATAGACTCTCTTATCTAATATTAATATGAGTGGGGGATTGTTAGTGTAGGCATTTTAATATTATAAAAATATTGCATTGCCACATTGAACATTGTCATTACTTCCTCTATTCATGGCCGTTGGTGGCACTTATGTTGCTTTACTCCATTTGAAATACAGTTGTGTGAGTTCCGAAATTAAAGTTGTAGATCTAATTTGCAGATGATAGACGTCTTGTAAATGAATCAATTTTCGCAACTTGTCAACTTTTTTGCATTTTGACTATACTGAATTGGTAGTTTGTGAAGTGAATAAAAGTCGTATCAATATTATAGGAGTTACATAAATTACAACATATAATGAGATAGAATAATGAGTGAAATGAAAAATTCATGGTTATATGAGTTATTAGCTCGTTTTGATCTTGAACGAAGTACATCGAAATCCAAAAACACTACCGTGAGTCCGCCTGTGGTGAGTCAAGGCACCACCCTTTTATGCAACAACCATCTGTGGTTATCAAACTCTGGTCCCCAGAGTCGGGGGTGCCGTGGGGTGGGGTGGGGTGGAAATGAAAGGCCGCTTTGTTTTGAATGCTCTTTTAACCTACCCACGATGAGGCTCTAATGTCTTTGGGAGCGGAAAATAAAATATCACATTTTACCTCACAATAATAGGCATTATGTGGTCATCAATGTCGATGAAAAATGCAGCAAAATGTAACATTTGAAAAAAACTTAGGATAAGTCACTTTAATAAAAATTATTAATAATATTAAGATGCTCAGCATCACCAACATATTCTTATGGATAAAGATAAAGTTTGCACATGATTTCACCAGATAAAGTTGTTAGCACATGTATTCTCACAAATTTTTTTCCTTTTCCACTTCAAAAAATTCAGTATTTGCTACTACAAAAGGAAGAGATAATTTTACTCAGCAGCTAAATAGTTAGTCTTCCTGTCTTGTAGCAATTATATTTTGCTGTCTGTGTTACTTCTGTAGAGCAGACTTGTTTAGTTCTGAGGAGACATTTTACATAATTGAAATAGTTTCTTAAGACAGTGTGTAGTATGACTCAATAATAATTGTTGTTATTATATAATACCCATGCATAGATCCGGCTAGCAAAAAGATGTAGAGAAAATTAGCGAATCTAAAGCTAAGAAGCACTTTGTGCTTGTTCATACGCTAGGCCATAATGTCACAGCTCTTGAGTTGGAGTTCATGACTTCACTTTCTGCTGATGAAAAATATAGTTCTTGTTGGCCATAGCGTTGGTGGACTTGCCATTTCTAAAGCCATGAAAACTAAATTCATATATAGATACTTCATTATAGACAATCAAGCAATAATACGTGAACTTGATTATCGAGTTATATACCACAATGGACCTGAGAATCCTTCAAATTCTTGGAAACTAATGCTTACCATCTTAGCCTATTGAGGTAAGCAAATCATAATAGTACTGTTACTGAAATTAATAACTAATTTAAATTGGGGTTTTCCCTAGGGTTTGGTGTTGGCCACTACACTAGTAAGGCCATTTTATTTATACAGCGCAGAGATAGTACTTTCAAGCAGAAAACATGGATTAGTTAAATGAGTGTTCATTGTTACTTCTGAAAATGAAGCTTCGAAGAAGGAATTTTCCAAATGATGATTGAAAAGAATCCACCAGATGAAATGAAAGTGATCCAAGGTCTGACCACGTGACCGTGATGTCTAAGCCCCAACAGCTTTATACTTCTCTTTTTAGCATTGCCAACAAGTACACCTGAGACCTTTCAATTAGATATTTCAATCATTTTCTTTCAATTGTGAGTTCAGCGTTTGGAATTAGCATCAATAAACAAACTCTACTTCATGAAAATACTAAATTTTTTAGTTCAATTTGATAAAATCTCATCAATGGAAAGAGGACACAAATATAATATGCACATTAACAACAGTGCTAAAGTCTTTATCGACATTATCTCTCTACAACGATTGACTTGTCCTCAAAATTTATGGTCTATATATTGTTGTTCATAATCTCATCCAAGGTAACCTTCCCTCTCTTAGTAGTGCTTTGTTGGGCTCTAACATAGTCTTTGTAAACAATGGATCGATACTTGCTTTCACTCTTCTCTTTGATAAGTGGGCTTGCAGGCTGAACTATTGTGTCCATTTCTGGGCCATGACCCACTGCTATAGAAACCCGAGCCGCCTCCGCATTGACTACTGCTCGATGCTCTACGCTCTTGTACTTGCCATTACTCAATATCTGAGAATATAATTCACTCAGTTTGTCTAATTTTGAGAGGATCAATAAGTTAAAGTGAAAGGAAAAATAATGAGACTAACCTCCAAATAATCTCCTAGATTGACAACAAAAGTGCCAGGGACATGGGGGACAGAGTACCACGTTTGATTGTGTTTAATTTGCAAGCCAGGAACGCCATTGTCCATTAAAATAGTGAGACCACTCTGATCTGAATGTGGAGCAAGTCCCAATGTCTTGTTTGGCTCAGGACATGTTGGATAATAATTTGAAGCTATCATTTGAGTCCCTTCATCTCCAAGTGATCTCTCTATGAAATCTGGATCAAGCCCTAATCCTTCTGATATTGCTCTAAATATTTTTATCTTTAGTTGCCAAACTTCCTTTAAGTACTCCTTTGCAACTTGCCTTCACACATATACATGTACAAATTCATTAGGAAAAACTTTGCATGTATTTGTGTATATCATCAAATAACTTACTTGTATGTGGGAGGATTATCTGGCCAAAAGTGATAGCTTTGTGGAACTAGACCACCATAGTGCCTGAAAAAGTCCCTCCAATGAAGGGCATGCTTTCCTGTAGTGTTGAAGCTTGTTCCGTATATAACTGGATCCATCACATTTTCTGAACAATATCTCATTTTCTCTTCTAACGGGAGATTGAAAAACTCTTCTACCACTTTAAGCATTTCATCCATGATAGAGGTCCTTATACCATGATTACTCACCTAATGTGCGTATTTATTATCACTAAAAATCAATAGTATAATTTATAAAAGAGAAAGAGTTGGAAAATTACGTACCATAAAGAATCCCCAATGAGCACAAGCAGAAGAGATGGCATGTATAGTTGATAGTCTTTGTTCATCAGTTCCATTGAGTCCACTCAAATCTATAACTGGAGTGGAACCTTCAATGGCCAATGATGGCCTTTCATCTTCTGGAATTGGCAAAACAAACTGGGAAGGCACCATTTTCATCTTCTTTGAATTTTCAACTAAGTACTTTACACCTTTTTTATAATCAATTTCCATAGTAGGAAAAGGAGAAGAAGTAACTATTAGAGCCATTAACTTGGCTGTTGGATGAGATGAGGCTTTATTGATCAAGTTTTTTCGGAAGAAACGATGCTCTTTCACTACTTTCTCTTTGCCAAGCGTTACGTTTTTGGTCTTTGGAGCAATAGGCCTTGTGGCATTGTACATGCACATTGAGCCAAAAATATTTGGAACCTAGCTAACTGAAAAAGATGCTTTTTTAGCCCACCTTCATTTAGTTTGTTGGTCTCGTAGAGCCAATTCGCAAGCCTTAAAAGTCATTTCGCGGGCTGTGTATTTTAAAAATATTTATTATATATTTTTTTAATTAATGTTTTACTTGTTAAGATTTTGTCAGTAAATATTTTTGAAATATCAATATAAAATAATGCTATATTACTTTCATATCTTTTACATGTTAGGATCAACCACCACTAAAAAAATTTATCAGCCCAAGTTCATTACTTCATTATAATTATGAATCATTGAATTCTTTTATTTTCGTTTTTCTGCCTAACTTTTTCAATTCTACTTTATTGTCTTGTTTATGAAAATAGTTATCAAGTAATGTGTTTTTGCTCGAATGAATCTTATGAATGTTGCACTTGGCTATATGTATTTGTTTTGTAAATATTCATTTAAGTATATGTTATTTATTTTTTGTAAATATTCACTGAAGTTAAGTGTAATTCTCCCTAAAAATTTCGAAAGATATCACAACATAAGAAAATCAAAGCTAAGAAATTAGTACAATTTTTGTCATCTGCTTTCCTACATCATCTTCCTTTGGTTATTCAAGTGATACAAATTTAAAGCATCTTCTACTATACTAGTACAATTATTAGTAATATAACTTTTGTTTTTTTAATTACCTTTTACATATATGAAAAGAAATAAGGAATAATTGGTACAACCCACAACACTACATTATATCTACCTATCTAAGTTTTTATATTTTCAATCGGATAATTTACCCAAGTGTTTAAAAAAACTCTTAAGTTTATTATACACTCGATAAATAGCATTATAAAAATTACAACAATGTTTACAAACTCTATATACAATATTATACCCCCAAATATACAAATATTATTCAACATTATAAGAAGTGCTTATATGCCCAGTTTATTTTATAATATTATACACTATTATACAAGCACGCTCTTCGTCTTATTCCGTAGATCCATTCAAAACACCTAAGTTTCACATTCAGACTACTCAATGTATTTTACAATATTATACACTATTATACAAATCTTTTGCAGTATTATTCACTCGAAATATAGCTTATATGTTAAAATGTGGTTTTCAAACTTCGAAGAACCGAGAGAGACTTTATGTATCCTAATAAATGTATATAGACACAGGAACTTTTATGTATACACACACCGAAGTTACTCTTGTCACATTATGTTATGTATATTAATAGATGAAGAGGAAATTTCACAAATAGCCAATAAAATAAATATAGTTTTTTAATTACGATTCGTCGCTACATGTTAAAGGGAGAAGAGAGGCGAGTGAGACTTGGAGAGGTAGGAGAGAGGCGAATTGTATATGTATATCAATAATTGTATATGTATATATGTGACCGATATACATATACATTTGTATATATGGCGAGCGAATTTGGGAGAGGGAGGAGAGAGGTGAGTGATAGAAGTAAGAGCGTGGAGAAAGGCTAATTGTATTTGTATATTTTATTTTTTGGAGTTTGCCCACTTGGTTTCCGGAGCCCCGTTGATGCCCTAACTACATCTGGATCGCGCTTCAAAGGACCCATTCGGAGGTGGCACTCCCATCAAGATTTTCTCAATATTCAGGGCTTGAACCCCAGACCTCTGGTTAAGGGTGGAGCAATTCCACCATTGCACCGCAGCTCATATTGTGCATTTGTATATTTGTCATATAATTGTATATGTATGTGTACAATTTGTATTTTTATATGTACAAATGAGGGGAGAGAGAGAGAGGAAGAAAGGAGAGAGACGACGTAATTATAGCTTAAGTTAAGTTGAGAGTGATAATTAGTGAAAACTATAGCTATATTAGCTAATTAAATAGTATATGTATCCTCGTCATTACCCCATGTATATAAATACGGTAATCTTTATGTATACATATCGAAGTTACTCTGTCACAATCAATGTATATTTTGAATCGAATTATAAAAATATACATCATCTAAGTATACAAAAAGTATATGCGCAATTGCATAAAATTGTTCATTGAAGCTCAGATCATTTCCTTCACCACTATATTACTTCTTCAAGGTTCAAATTATGAAATGCAATTGATTTTAATAATTGGATTTAATTAATTATTTCGATCAACTTGTAATTAAGAGCAACTCTCGGTGTATCATCGGTTGGTTGATGATAAATCATAATGCAAGAGGTCGTTCAATATATACTCATATTTTATAATTGTCGTACTCGAACAAATTTATACTGATCTCGTTAAATTTTACGAGATATTTTTAACCTTCCACGACCAAATCTCGATTAAAAAAAATCACCTAATATTCTATTTTCTTTGAATGAGGCAACCACCTATAAATGACATCCAATGATGGGCTCAGGGGAAATAATTGGCAAATATTTAACATGATAATTCCCAAAATCTAATGATGTTAATTATGTGTGATAAACTTTTATGATATCACTAATGATTTCCTATAGACTAATGTAGTTTTACAGGTCGACTGCTATGAGTTTAAGTACTACAATTATTTGGTCTTCTTTTTGGTTTAGTTTATGTGCTATGTATGTAATTAATTAATGTTTCTTATAGGCACGGACCATAATTATGATTCACTCATAGGCTGCCACATTTAATTTTAATAACAAAAGTATTATACTTAGGACATTTGACATAATTATAACGCCCTATCTGACAAGTGACAACTTAGTTAAATCTCCATTATTTTTTCTTGCCTATCAGTCGAACATTCATTTGATTCATCGTCATGTTTAATTATACTTTGTATTAATTAATCAATACATCGTGTGCTCTTTAGGCCGGTGTAGTGTGTGTTCAAAAGCCAAAAAAAATAGTGATGTTTGCCGATATGGTTGGTGTAGGTTTTTAAAAATAATTCACTTTTATTTCTTTTACCTGTTATATTTCACTTATTAACTTCTTATTTTTCTTATACTTTTAGAGTATGTATATTTTAAATTTAAAGTTATGAATTATTTCAAATTAATTTAGTTTTGAAAGAAATCAAATTGACTTTGATAAAACGAAACGTGATAAGTAAAAGAATAGACAAAATATAAAATTTTATTTATATATATACACATAGAGATACACTCTGAAATAAAACATGAGGGAATTACTCTGTTCTCTTCTTTACATTTTTTTTTAGAGAATGTTGTTATGATTTTAAATTGATTATTAGTGCGGAATATATTGGTCGTACGGCGGAGATAAAAAAATAATTTTCTATAGCCTATGGTTTATTAATAATAATGGGGATCAATATTGAGGTCAAACTTATGCATATGATCATATGGCTTATGTGATTGACTAAACAAGCGATTGTGTCAGTACACCACAAGGTTGAAAATATGAATAATATATACTAACTGTTAATATAGGTGATTTTAATTTATTGGGCGATCTATTTTAAATTTCATTTGATAAAATTTGATTAAAATTTTTCATTACAACTAATATTCTATAGCTCGATTGTGATAAGCTCCGACTTGATCAGAGTTGGGCCAGCTGGGTGGGAGAATTATGTTTTATAATACAATTTTTTTATTAATTCGCGATGGAAAAATCTTCTATACTAGTGACATGTACTTTTATCCCAAATTTAAAAGCTAATTAAAGTACCACATATAGGTAAGTGAAATAATATTGGAAAAGGTGAATATTATGAATATATAAAGTTTGCTGAAGGATGAAAATATTAATGGAAAGATGTGTGGACATGTAAGCTAGGTTTGCCCCACGATAACATAAGCAGGCAGGGCCAGCTACACTGAGCAATGAGTTCAAAATTACATTACATAAAATAAAATAATAATGGAGTAAAAATTATAGGTTTGTCCCAAGTGAAGAAAAGAATATTATTTTTAATAAGTATATATATATATAGAAGGGCCACTTTCATTCCCTACAATAATACTTGCAGAAACAACAATGATGGTGCTATCTCTGCATGGGGGAATGGCGTGAATAACGCACTCATCATGTGCATTTCTTTCCTCCCTCGAATTTGAGGGGTTGAGTTAGAAGTCTGAATATAAATTTAACTGAATTATTCAATAGTTTCTTTTAGATGATATTTCGTATTAAAAATTTTGTTAAATAAAATTTAAATATTGAAGTATTAAATTTAAAACACAGCTATTATCACTTGTATGAAATTGTAATATAGAATACAAATTTATAAAGTTAAAATTTCGACTCTATCCATGTCGATCCTCTTTTACTACCTCTTGTACGAAAAAAAATAGAGCAATTATTTCCTTTGAGCATCAACAAATTCTTACTTTAAAGAAAGCCATCAAGTTTTAGTGATTGCATAATTCATAGTAGTACAATAATTACTCATGACAAATTCATCCGTTGCTATATAAATTTATTTCTATATTTAAGTACATATTATATTATCATCATACGTCAAAAAAATAATTTTATAGTTTTAATTCATCATTTAATGACTATATGATAATATACTAATTAATTTAGCGGTGGATTCAACATGTAAGTACCTAGCTCATTTGAAACTACTTAATGTGAGATATAAATAAATGTATTTAAAGAGATACTAAAATTGCAACAAATTAAATAATAGGTGTGAACCATAGTTTGGGAAATACAATTACCTCAATACTAAAAATATTAAAAGTTGAACAAGGAAACTTAAGTGATCAATCGGCCTCTCAATATACATAGTTACATATATATATACCTCATATGGGGTGTAATCAACTCTATGATTATGAGTATTCAATGTAACTATCTAGATTCTATTACATGAAATTTCATCAAGTATGTTTTAATAATATTAAAAGTAATTAATTATATTTTTAATATTTAAAGTGAGAATTAACACATCTACACAAACCCTAAGATTTTAGGTAGGCCTTTAAAACTTTTTGCATTTGTCAAAATTTTGAGAGCCATATGTCAAAGTATTATACAAATCTGCAAAATCTTTCAACACCATCATT